TTTTTATTCACTCTTGATTGAAATATTATGTTTTGAACAGCCATCATTATTGTTCTGTAAAATTAGCATAATATTTCTATTAGTTCAGGTAGTTAAGTATTATGCCTTTTATATGTTTTAGACAAAATTCTCTGTAAGTGATGTATCGCTTAATCAATTACATTTTGAAAACACTTCATATTAGCAGGTCTTTAAACCTGACTCTGTGAATTTAAGAAGAGAAGGCCTTGATCAACAAGATTAAGTAGATCACAACAATTGTAGCATCTTTATCCTGAGTGCTTGTTGCCCTGCAGGACATCTGCTCTCTTGTTCTGCTCCAGGCAAAGAATTTTCTAAAACAGTTGCCTCATTTACCAATTGGAGGGAGATATGAATGTAAACTAAATTGATTTTAATCTTTGGTTGTGAGACCTAAATAGAAAATGGAAACTGTCAGTGCATTTCTAAACATAGATTCACAGGTGTATTTGAAAAATATGTTGAAAATAATTAAAGGCCAGTGCAAATTAAAGAGAATTAAATTATAAACATAACTTTAATTATAACTACCAAGCTCTAAACTTTAATATTTAGAGAAGAGGTGGAATTTTGGGATATCTGATTTGATTCTGTAAAGTTTAGGCTATCAGTGTGCTGAGGAAGAATGTTCTGATTTGATTTCCCATATTACAGTACATTGTGTCATGGAAAAGATCCACTGTATACTAGGAGGAATGCTGTCACCTTTTGTGGCTTATAAAATGTATCAGTCCCAAAGATGAGAACTGTTCTTCTATTATAGGCAACATTTGAGATTGGGATGGGATTTTCTAAACTGCTACATAAAAATAAAATACAAAAATAAAAAATATTGACTTGCATAGCTTCTAGACCTTTAAGATGTTAGAAGTGTTTCTCAAGGAAAAGGCTTGATTTTTTTTAAATAATATTGCTTCATATGTAAGCTGCTTCTATATAAATGGATAAGCAAATAAGTAGCATATATCTTAAGAAAAGTCTCTGCTCTTAAAGGAAATTAACAGTAGAAAAAACTATATTTACATCAATTTCCAATAAAATGTAACGGAAAAAAATTAACTGAAGCTGTCAGTGAATTGGTATTGTATATCAGCTCATTGCTAACAAGCTTTAAAGAAGAGCGATGCAAAAAAAAACAACACAAAAATATTCAGTGTTTCACATATGCTTTCAAATTTCTTAATTATCTATTACTGTGGCTTTGAAGGGTAGAAACACAGAGCTGACTCAGATACTGAGCTTTTGCACCAGATATTTAACCTATTTACATTTTAAAATTCCCTTTTATTTAAGAAAGTTAAGATGAACTTCAGGAAATACTTGTTTGGAAAAACTGTAGCAGTACAAAATAAAATAAGTTTGAAGTAAATACTTCATTATAAACTTTCATTGAGCAATTATTTAAGATAGAGGGTCTTCTGTAAAAGTGTATATCCTCATTGCAAGCAAAATTGTCAAGTTTGTTTACCATTAAAGGAGAAAACATCGGAACTACCAAGCAATTTAATCAATTCGTTGGGCTGGTGTATTTTTCAACGTTGCTGCTTAAGAGAACTGTACAATGCATAGTACATAGACTAGATGACCAAAATGGAAATATATATACTATTGAGGGAAAGATGTCCTCTGAAAACCCTTTACAGGGTGAAAAGATATCTTTAACTGAGAAGCAAACCGGTCATTCACTTTGCTGGTATTGTGAAGATCCACATCTAACAGCAAACTTCTAGATCAAGAGGCAAGATCCTAGTATGTGTTCAAATTGGAACACTTTGGCTATTATGCATGTTTCCTTCTTTAGGACTGTGTAGTTGTACTGTACAGAGTTTGAAATGGTTTGCTTTATTTCTGTGTAAGGATACTAGTACTTTCTTCGATTTCTGTTAACCTCTGGATATCACTGACATTTTTTAAAATGTTGAAATGTACTTATTTCATATACTGCATTAAAATTTTCTTCCTTTGATTCATGTGGGAGAATGGTAGTACACAGAAAATAATTAACAGATTTTTAAAAGATAAACATATGTTTGAAATTGGTTTATCCTTGGGGCAGGGACTGTCTCTAATTAAATGTTTATACAGTGCCTAATATAATCAAGCCAGGAGCTGGTTGACTGCTATGCATGCCATAGTCCAAATATTTAATAACTACAGTTCTGCAGTCAATTTGATCTTACGTTTGATATTTACAAGTGTTTTCCTAACACACACTGCAGATTTCTGCAATTTGAAGGGCTTCAGGCTCAAATTCTGCAGTCTGCTTGATTCTACCATATCCATCACTTTAGCACTCAAAATCCTGATTCAGATTTTGTCTTCTGTTTTGTGTGTCAACCGGAGGATGGGATGCCCCTGTTTTGAGGGAGGTGGGACAAGTATCCAGTTGATTTTCTAGCATACAGATTAAACAAGTGTCAATATTACTGTTTAAAGTCCCAGCAAGCACCCCTACAGCACGACTCAGATCTGAGGAAACCTGCATGACAGGTTCTGTGATGAGTTCTTCTTCAAAAATATTCTTATGGATGTGTTCAGTTCACTGCATTCATTGGTACGCCTCTCAGAAGCCTTCTCAGTCATGAGCCGTAATTCACACTGTTGACTTTATTAATGAATTAATCTTTGCCATCACAGTCTTGGCTTTTACTCAGACCAAGGTTGTTTCTGGACAAGACAGAACTCTGAAAACAGGAAACTGTGAAAAACCTTTGGGAGCCACCATCTGTAGAAAAAAATTCTTCCTAGGGGTGGTTAGACAACCATTTCCACAAGCATGACACCCTCTGCATGCTTAAAAATAAGGTCTCGCATCCTCTAAACCAGCTTCTACAGTCAGGAACAACTGTTCATGGAAGTGGGTACAATTTGTTGGTTAAGGACTAAAAACTTGTGATTTCTGTCATTTATTAATTTTTATGTCCCTTAAGTTAATTACTAGAGTTTGTATGAGTATTTACTTCTATTCATTTTATTCATGTTTGCATGAATTCTTTCCTAAAACTGAATACACATATTCATTCATGTTTGTGTGAATAACTAATAATTATTGTACAGTTCAGTCAGCTACTATGTCTGTTAATGACAATTTAGTCATGAATAAACCTCTATGTTGGAGCCCGAGAGAAACCTGTATGTTGGAACCCCAGAGCTTCCTCTTCCAGTTACTTCTTTAATAAAATGAATAATGCCTGTTTCTCTGTAAGATGATATTTTCCTTCCTGACATTTGGACCTAATCTTTAAAATTGTATCTGGAGGTCTCTCTTTGCTAAAGCAACCTTATAAAATCTACCCACGAAAGCATAATTTGGAGTAGCCAACGTCTTTGCTGGAACTTAGTATGAACATGCTGCATTTATGGGCTTCCTTGTCTGCACATTAATGTACTCAGAGACAATGTGAAATTAAATGTAGTTTCATGACTACAGTAGAGACTGGCAAATAAGAAGTATGGAATTCAGTCAAAATGTTAATTTCACAGCACTTCTTTGACTTGGAATCAATCTGTGATGCACTACCGTACCTTTATACCTTGGGATCTCTAGCTGTTGTGTAGCGGTACTTCTAGTATGCTATACATAAGCGTGCAAGAAAGCATAAGCATGTGTAAGAGCCATGAAGGGAGGTTACTTACTAGTTGATTTTCAAGAGTTGTCTCTACACATTCACACGACCAATCTGCCTTGCTCTTGCTTTGGAGCTCTAGCTCTGATTTTTAACACTCGGCAGGCATGTGATGAAGAAGCAGAAGCGGGTGGGGCACAGTGCCTTTGCTTAAAGAGATGGAAAAGCTGACATTGCTCCTGTGTGAGAATACTACTTCATTCCCTATGAAACAGCATTCCTGTGCCCTGACTAAACTTAATGCCAGAAATACTGAATCCCATTGCTTCAGTGTGAAGAAGCAGTTCTTGAAGATGTTGTTAGTAATTCCTCTTCAGATTTTGGTGTGTTCTTTACTATGACTGTTTCCAAGTGCTTATAATTACGTTATGTTATGTGAAATCACATGTTTCTATACCTCTGTGGTTATAAAATGTATTGCTTGGAGTATGAGCTTATCTTCTGCAGTTTTTGCTTTCCCAGTGCAATGATGTAAATGTCTATGTAAGTGGGTAGAACACTGGAGAATTAGACCAATATATAATAGTGTGCCAAGTTTGACAACTGCTTCCAGCTGCATAATTTCAGAGGAGGTTTTATAACTAGAGGATTTTGCAAGAAAAAAAATATATTTCAAGCATGACTCATTTTTAATTAAAAAAGAGAATGCAAACTACTTGCTTTTAGTATGGTTAAGAGAGAAGAGAAACAAAGGTATTTATGAAATGTCTTAGTGTCATAAGATTAGAAGCATGACACTGAAAGCTAAGAGAAAAATCTAAGTAGGCAAGACAAAATCTTTTATTTTCTTAGAATGTTTGTCCTTTAAAAAAAGCCTACAGGGGTTTTTTTTGTGAGGTTTTTTTCCCTATAAACATTTGCTTCATTGTACTAATTCTCAGAATAGTAGGAATTGTTAGTTGAATGAATAAAATGATCATGAAATAAATGAGAACAAACATACAAACACTAATTGTTGCACTAGAATGTATCTGTTGTCAACCTTTGCAGGTTGTCTTGCAGTTGTACAGTTCCATTGGCCCCAAATGGTACTTACTGAACACTTATTTTTTATTTGTTTGGACCACGCCAGTATTACACAGACAGCATGAGGGAATAATGGGCTGCATTCTTTGGGTTACTGAAGAGTCAGCACAAATTGCAGGAACAAATAACAATCAGACAAGGAAGTGTTTTATAACATCAGGACTGCAATCCATCTTTGGGATCTTTCAAAGCTGGTCTAATAAAGGCCGACTTACAATCCCCAGCAGAGTACAGTTTAATTAAATTTGTCCATTAGAGGACTCCTCCCCCTCTCTTAATTTAAGAAATTAATTCTGCTTTCTGACTGTCATTCTTTCTACATCACAGATGCACTGAGCCTTCGTAACCGACAGGTCCTCTGCACCACACTGAAAGTCCTCCAGCACCTGGCGGTATCAGCTGACAAGGTGGGGCAGGCCTTGGTGCCCTATTATCGACAAATCCTCCCAGTCCTAAACATCTTTAAGAATATGAACGGTGAGTTATCCTAACAGACACTGTGTCTTTCAACTCCTAAAGTAAAAAGGGGCTTGAGGCAGGGTTAATTAACAATGTAGTTAAGATTTATTACTGTATATAAACTCAAATCCATTTGGAGCTCTAAATAATGTAAACCCCCCCTTTTACTATTCCCTAGGGATGCACTGAAATTAACAATTTCATTTATTAGTCCTTGCACGTACAGTTTGTTTAATGCAGTACAGAAGCACTGAAGCAGTTCTATAATCTTCCAATAATTAAATTGTAAAGTTTTGTAACAGTCTTCTGAATCCATTAATAAATTGCAAAGGTTCCCCCCCCAACACATCAGTTCAGTCCATCCTTTTTGTTCCATTCTGTGCTCTTCACAAGCAATTCACTGCTATGAGCAGGCTTAGGAAAGAATAAAAACAAAAGTAACAATCAAACTAATTGATTTGAGGGTCAAGAGAACTCCTTGTAGAAAAATTTCATAATGTCTAGCAAAATGTCTAGAATGTCATTTCATAATGTCTAGCAAAACAGTGAAATTTGAAGTTATTACTGATCACTTAGCAGGTTTTATTATAGAGAAATTTAGAACTAATCTCAGTTGAATATGTTGTTTTCTTTGTAGCGCAAACCTCTATTGCCGGTTTCAGTCTTTAATAGCTATGGTACTGTGAGTACCATATACTGTGAATGCCTTTACATCATGGTCACCAGCTGAAATCAACATGATGTATCTTGCTTTTGTCAAACTAATCTTTAAAATATTTTTCCATAGTAGGTCTAGCTGTCCTTATCTGTTCAATTATCTACTAAGTTACTGACTTTAAAGCTTCTGTTATTGACATGCAGCCATATAGATCAAAAGAATTAATTCCTCACAATCTTGCAAAAGAAGTACTGACAATTTTTTTGTGAAATTTATGGCATTTCAATAGTTATCTACAGGACTGCTTCCTATTATACTTTCTGTTTGCATTACTACAGAATGTATTATCTTATACTCGCTCTTTAAGACCACAGATTGAATAATGCCTGTCCAAAGACTGACTTGGAGACTCAGATGAGATATGTATTTTAGATCCCTTTGAATACATGCACGTCTGTGACTCTATTTTACTTAGTGAGAAACTTGCAGTAACATATGGAATTCCACAAATGCAACGTGGTTCAAATGACAGCTGTGGCTTTCTAGAAGCTGTGGGATGAAAGGTTATGAATAAAATCCATAGGCTGATTAAGTAATTTCAGTAGGGGTCCTTGTGAATTAGGAGATTCCCTGTTAACAGATCCAATTTCAGTATATGGCACAAAACACCACTGTGAAAAGAAGGACTCTCATTGATTAATGAATATACAATACATGCTTTTTCCAAATTTCATCCTGAAGTAGCCCATAAATTCTCCTGACTAGGCTTTTCTGCATAGGTTTCAGATGAATCACACAGAATCACACAGAATCACACAG